TGTGTGTGTGTGTGTGTGTGTGTGTGTGTGTGTGTGTGTGTGTGTGTATATGTGTGTGTGTGTTTAATTGCTCTTTTAGCTACTTTTGCCTGAACCTAACACTGTAAGTGAAACAAGGCATTTCTTGAGTTGCTGTAAATTATGTTATAATACATATTTACTCATTCCAGAAAACAACAACAACATCCTTCATGATGGACAGACATCATGGACACCACAGCAGCAGCTGTCTTCACTGAAACATCCTGAACATGATCGTCACTGACATGAGGCCTCTGTCGATGGTTGAAGACAAAAGCTTCACTACAATGATCCACACTTTTAATCCAGGTTACAATAATCCACACTTTTAATCCAGGTTACACTCTTACCTCAATGACACATTTTACAAAGTAGCTACATATTGTGCAGGTATAAAGACACATTTTTATATATTTTTGTGTACATTTATTTTTTTAAGCTATTTGACTAACTTTTATTTTTTATTATTCAATATTTTACTAACAGAATAGTAAAATAGCAACCTGTTTTTTTTTTGTGAATTGCTATGTCAGTCAAATGTTCAATTTTGGAATAAAGGGGTGGAAATTAAAACGTTGTGGGTTTTTTTGCCGATTCATCGATTAATCGAAAAAATAATCGGCCGATGAATCGATTATTGAAATAATCGTTAGTTGCAGCCCTAGTACCCACCACTGCACCCTGTATTCACTGGTTAACTGGACATCATTAACTTCACGCAGACTCTCCCACTGGTACATTTTCATCTTTAAATCACTTCTTGGTCTGTTGCCTTCATACATCTCCTCCTACATGTCTCTGCGAGAGTGCAGCTACAGAGTGCGCTCTCAGGACATTATTACCTGCAGTGAGGACTGAACTTAGCAAAAGGGCCTTCTCCTACTCTGCTCCTGTTTCCTGGAATATCTTACAAAAATACCTGAAGCTCTCGACCTTGACCTCTCTAAGTGACTTTAAGAATCTGTTGGACTCCTGGCAGGGACCAATGCAGACATGTTCCTGTTTTTAGTTTTCTACATTCACCTTATAATCTAGCCGTTTTTGTTACTTTTTTGCCATCTTATTTGTATTAAATAAATAAATAAATAAAAATCTGTATGCCTTTTTATAACAGTCTATTGTTGTCGCTATTGTCCACTGTTGTCATCTTCTTTGTTGAAATCAGGTCTCTCTTGTAAATGAGTCCTCGAGGCTCAATGGGATTTACTCGTCTAAATAAAAGTTGAATGAATTACAGCCTCATATAAAATCAATAACGATGATGATGTCGGAACTGGATCGGTATTGGCCGATATCTAGATTTAGGTGTCGGGATCGGAAAAAAAAAAAAAAAAAAAAGTGGATCGGTGCATCCCCAATTCCATCCCATCCTTCCATTTCTTCCGGTGACTATCTTGCTGTGAGGCAACAACTCTTACCAACTGAGCCACCGTGCTGCAGTGACACGTCATTTAATATTTAAATAATAATAATTTAAAAGCTAAGCCTGTCTCCTTTCACAGGACTTTAGCATCAGCCTGGTCAAATGCAGCGTTAGTCGATATACATATTTTCAAATCACATACATGTGAACTTTGTTAAATATAACAAAGTTATATAAAAACAAAAACACTCTTTCAGTGTGACGTTTTAGTGGTTTTATCACTGAAAACACGTTTTGTCCAGTAAACGTCCACAATGTGTCTACGTTCAGATTCTTTGTGGCACAACATTAAGATTTTTAGTTAAAATTATAATTCTTAGTCGATATATGTACTAGAATCTATTTAACTTAGTTTAACCATGCAGATCCCACTGAGATCACAGAGCTCTTTTTTTTTTTTTTTTTTTAACGGGAGGCGTAAAAACATTTTAAATTTGAAAATTCAAACGATATTTATTTTATCAAGACCTAAATGTGGGACGCTGACTTACGGCAGAATGTTTGAGTAATGTTTCAGCACCATGCAGACCTACAACATATAAATGTTGCTGCAGCTCAATATTTTCTATGTGAAATATTAGAATGAACAGACTCGGAGGTTAGCCTGACTGTTACCGTGGTGATCTAGCCTCAGTCAAAAAGACTAACTTTCCACTCAACATAGCTGGACCTGACCATGTCCAGACACACCAAACCTGCTGTTCTGGGGTGTCTTGTGACCTCCTGAATGAATCGTCGCTGCATTCTAAAATTAATTTTGGTCGACTGGATCCTCAGGAAAATTCACCACTGTTCCATGTTTTCATCATTTGTGGATAACGGCTGGAGTCCCAAACCTAGAGAAACTGCTTTAAATCATTTTCCAGACTGACAGACCTCATTTGTTTCTGAATTTCTCTGGATGATGTCTAGCTTTCCATAATGTTTTGGTCTATTTCACTGTCAGATAGGTTTTAACTTTTATTAACTTTTAAGTGATCTGATCAAGTCCATCACAGGGCATGTTGGCGTGACGTTTCCACGCTCTAAAAATCTAACCCCCATTCCTCGGAGGACTGCATGTCGCTCACCTGCACTGAAGGTCCTGGTCTACGTGTTTGTTAATGTCAAACTTAGCTGTGAGTGTGTAAAAATGACTCCGCCCACCTTCTTCAGCTGTCCCTCCATGCCGGGCATCAACATGACGCAGGCCACCGCCACCCCCAGCAGCAGGAAGCAGGCGTAGATGAGCCGAGTCACAGTGGAGTTGTTTCCACTGGGACAGCACCGACACAGAAGGCAGGGGGCGCTGCCACACAGGCACGGGATCTGTGGGTACAAAGAACTCCATCAGTCTGAACCAAGGCCCCGGGGCCCTCAGGTTTTCAAGAACCCAAAACTGCATTAGTGTTAATGTTAATGAATGGGGTGTTTTCCAAACAGTTTACTGAAGTGGAAAAATAGTAAATTTGGTCAAAGAATGTTTGTTTTGGATTTTTGACAGAAAAAGAAAAGTTTTGTTTACTTTGCTGTGTGTAGCCTGCAGATATTAGGATAACATGTTTGCATTGCTTTAGAAAGACTGACAGTTATTTGTCTTGCTGATATTCTGTAATCGCCAATGATGGCCGGTCAGACTGAATATGGGCCGGTGCCAGGTCCATTTCTTGGTGCATCTTTAGTGAATACCTGATCCAAGTACAAAGCAAGAAAAAGAAGACGCAGCAACAGCAGCTCACTATATAAAATGTATATACAAGAACGCCCTCTGGAAACATTCAGAATCAGAATAAGATTTATTGTCATTGTACAATGAAGTGCATCGAAACTATATTTCGTACAGTCGTCCGAAAGATGGGCGGAGTGAACGTGGCTGCAGCTCCTAGGAGTGCGGCCCTTAATCTTTAGATAAGAAAAGGGGAAAGACCATGAGGATAGTGGCTATTAAAAAATGATCTCTTCACACCATGTCCTTGTCAGGACACGGTTGAAGACATCTGAAGCATGCGAGGCCAAGGTCCGGGCCCCGGCCTCGCATGCTTCAACGGGTGCCGGCAGCTCGTATGATCCTCCGCGGTGATTCCGCTCGCTCAAATTTTGTCGTCGGTCACCAAACACAAAAAACGCCTGGACTTCAGCATTAAACACGGTGTTGTCATTATTGTTTTTAAAATCTTAAAAATAGATCCAGCTGCTGATCAGCATTCAGAGAAATTGCACATGACGGATCGATGAAACGTTTCTGAGATTGTGTGACTCCTCCCCCTGACCAATCAGTGACCCACAGTGTTCTGACATCACGTTTAGGTGCCGACAGCTCAAACGGACCCACCAGAGAAGCAGGGACAAAAAAAGGGGCCAAATCAGCCTTGAATCAGCTAAAAAGTACTGGTTGAATAGCGCTCAAACCGTAGTGAACTAAGCAAAGTTGAAGCTGAGTAGAAGTGGTTGAAAAGGGGCATATGAGGACCCCCCAGGACTTGAATTCCTCTTACAGCTTGAAATGCTCTGGTCAGAGCTAACTTTGCTCTCGTTGTTGCCACCTCAAGAAAATTAACCGTTTTCTCAGTTCAAGCTTAGTTTGCAACAAGTTCAACTCAAGAATACGAGACCACAGCAAGATCCCTTCTTTACCAACAGCCTTGCTTTCCAATGTGCAGTCTACCAGGAGGAGCAGGTTGGAGAACCTGCAAGCTTGGATTAATGGAAAGGAAACGTCTTCTTGCTTTCACCGAGATGTAGCTAGGTGAGTTCGATCAGGATGTGGAACTGCCTCCGAGTGGACTTGGACCACTTGAACTCGACTGAACACCAGAGATCACATACGAGAGATTTGCTGCTTGAGTCGCAGCAAAGATCACAGCAAAGGGTGATTCTACAAAGTATCAGGGGGGCTAAATACAAATACACACCACACTGTTTTGTAAAACATTATGAAAACCATGCATCATTCTCCTTCACAATTACACCCAACTTTGTGTTGGTTTATCACATAAAATCCAAGAAGAGTGCTTTAAAAAATATTGTAGAATCCTACAAGTTTGTGGTTGTAATGTGACCAAATATGTAAAACTTCAAGAAGCAAGAAAACATTTTAAAAGTTTTGTTCTCCTAGTTCATCATATAAAGGATAAACAGCCAGTGTTACAGACAGTGACATCACGATCAGGCCACCCAAGGCTGTGTGCTGAGTTCTACTCTGTGTTGGTCATAACACGTCACACACACCATCCTAGAAATAAATCTGTGGATGACACAGTAGGGGTATCAGGTGATGAGGGGGTGTATTGGGACGAGGTCCAGTGACTGGTGACTTGGCATTCAGTTAACACCTTCCCTTTTAATACTGTGAAAACAAACTTGTTGATTTTAGAAAATGAGGATGACCATTCCCCATCGATGATGGGTATATGTGACACCCCCACCCAGTCGACCACCACCACAGCTGCTGTGAGGAAGGCCCAACAATGCCTGCATGTTCTGAGGTCTGCTTCCACAGCTGCTGGCCACCCTTCCATGCACTGTGTTGTCTTCACAGTCTGGTTGGAGGCTGTACAGCTGCAAGTAAGAAGGTTCTGCAGAGGAGAACAACTGACCACAACATCACTGGCTCTCCTCGTCCCTCACTGGAAGATACCTCTAACAGCTGTTACACCAGCAGAGCTTCAGCCATCATTCAGGTTGTTTTCACACCTGATAGTCCGGTAGACTCGATTCGGGACCAATATTCATGACCTTTTGTTTACATTTGAGCTGGTGCGTTTGCATTCACACTGCACTGTGCAGTCGAGCCAACCTGTTAAACCAACCTATTCCCCCGCTCGCCTGTGGGGGCGCTGCACCAAGAACTACTGAAAGAAACGACACAAAAACCTCTGAAGACACTTCTTCTTCTGGAAATAAAAACAAAAACGCATCAAGTTTTAGCAGTTTTAGGAGTTATATTTAGTCATTTTTCAAAAATGGACTCAGCAAGAGCAGAAGACCATGGAGAATGTTGTTTTCCACACAAGGCAGCTGACGGCTCCATATGAGGTAAGAAAAATGTGTGTTTTTTTGTCCTGCGCTGTACTCCACTTCTTTCTTGTGGAGCGGGGCTCGGTCTGTTTACATTCACACTGTACTGGAACCGCGCTGGAGTTCTCTTCTACCGGACCGAGACCTAGGTTTTAGCCCGGGCCAGAGTTCACCTTTTTGTTCGTGACAGAGTTCGATGGCGCGTTCACACCTCCCCAAACGAACAGGACTTCCTAGGAAAACAAGCTACAATTCGATTAAAACGGACTTGGGGTGCATTCACACCAGACCTGTTTAGTCCGCTTTAATCGAACTCTAGCTCGTTTTCCTAGAAAGTCCGGTTCGCTTGGGGAGGTGTGAACGCGCCATCGAACTCTGTCACGGAACAAAAAGGCGAACTCTGGCCCGGGCTAAAACCTAGGTCTCGGTCCGGTAGAAGAGAACTCCAGCGCAGTTCCAGTACAGTGTGAATGTAAACAGACCTGGCCCCGCTCCACAAGAAAGAAGTGGAGTACAGCGCAGGACAAAAAAAACACACATTTTTCTTACCTCATATGGAGCTGTCAGCTGCCTTGTGTGAAAAACAACATTCTCCATGGTCTTCTGCTCTTGCTGAGTCCATTTTTGAAAAATTACTAAATATAACTCCTAAAACTTGATGCGTTTTTGTTTTTATTTCCAGAAGAAGAAGAAGTGTCTTCAGAGGTTTTTGTGCCGTTTCTTTCAGTAGTTCTTGGTGCAGCGCCCCCACAGGCGAGCGGGGGAACAGGTTGGTTTAACAGGTTGGCTCGACTGCACAGTGCAGTGTGAATGCAAACGCACCAGCTCAAATGTAAACAAAATGTCATGAATATTGGTCCCCAACCGAACCGAGCCTACCGAACTATCAGGTGTGAAAACAACCTAAACAGGGCTGGTGTGAATGCACCTTCAGACCTGAACTCCCCCATCATCTTCTGATCCACCCGCTGTCCCTGAAGGCCACATGGACCAATGAAGAACAGGACCACCTGATTATATCAGCCCATGGAGGCTGGCTGGGTTGTTTTTAAGTCTAATAAACGGCACTTTGAAAAGTATCCTGTTATTTATTAATTTAATCAGAAATGGGTCTATACTAGTCTGGTTTTGTACAACACTGTAGGAGATTTTGTCCAGGATTAAATCAAATAAATCCGTCTGACCGAGGAGTCGATGTGATGCTGAGATATTTCTGAAGCTAGTTCATCTGTGGTTAGTTCACGGTGTCGCAGTTTAAATGTCTGCTGACAGTAATATGAGATGTTTACGTCATCATGCTAACAGGCTATCTGATCTGTTAGCGTCACAGACAGACGAGTCCATTAAGATAAAATAACCCGTGACTTGGTTAAAATACTGTCAAAATACAACACGATGAACAGACGGACGTCCTAAATATCTGCGTCACGGACTGCTTTCTGTTTCTCTGCATCTCGGCATTTTAAAACTAACAGTAATAACCAGCTAACAACAACAAACACACTCTGACTAGTATTAGTTAATGAAGAGCAGTACTGACCCAGCTCGCCATGGAGCACAGACCCAGAACAGCTCCCATGGCTGTTGTTTCTCTCAAAACCGATGTTTTTCTAGAAGATGGAAGCTGACCATCGACATAAAAACATGGATGATGTCTCCGCCTCTTCCGGTGTTCAAAATAAGAGCTGGCTCTCCGGCTTTTCGTGCGGAGTTTGCGCAGTTCGGTTAAGCCCCGCCCACTCTCCCCGCACATAGTTGTAAATAATCAATCAATCAACCTTTATTTAGACAGGTAAATCCCATTGAGCCTCGAGGACTCATTTACAAGAGAGACCTGATTTCAACAAAGAAAGATGACAACAATGGACAACAGCAACAACAATAAACAATTATAAAAAGTCATACTACAGGTTTTTTTTTTATTTATTTATTTTTTTATAAATAGGATGGCTAAAAGGAAAAGGTAACAAAAAAAAAAAACAGCTAGATTCTAAGGCGAATGTAGAAAACTAAAAACAGGAACATCCTGATGGATGCTCAATAATCCAGGTAGAAAAATCTAAAAAAGTTAAATCTGGTCCTCTGGACATTCAAAAAAACAAAACAAAGCAAAACAACAAAAAAAAATGTAGAAACGTTTCGTCTCTCATCCGAGAGACTTCCTCAGTCTGAGGTGCTGTATTCAGCTCAGTCTCTTAAATAGCACCTTCTCAGAGTGGATCAACCAGTTTTGCTGCTGACAACCAAAACCAGCTGCTCACATGCTCAAGAAGGACCATCAGCCTAATGATGGATCATTAGCACACTGATGGCTGTTTACTGTTCACAGAGGGCTGAGTGATACTAGCAATCACAGCATTGTAAGAGGGAGACAATTGAGCACGTAGGCCTCCACTCCTGTTTAATGATGGACGGTTTCTTTTCACAAAGATGGCCTCCTTTACTCCTCTCTCAAACCATCGTTCCTCTCTATCCAGGATGTGAACATCTTCATCCTTGAAAGAGTGACGGCTGGCCTGGAGATGAGTGTAGACCGCAGAGTCCTGGCCTGATGATGTTGATCTTCTGTGCTGGGCCATCCCAGTGGCTGTTTAGTTTCCCCGATGTAAGACTGATCACAGCCCTCCTGACACTGAACAGCATACACAACATTACTCTGTTTGTGCCGGGGGACTGGATCTTTGGGATGAACTAGTCTTTGCCGTAATGTATTTTGGGGTTTAAAAGCCACTGGGACATTGTGTTTAGAAAATAAACGTCTCAGATTCTCTGAACTAAAATCTTCAGTCAGTGGGCACCGGGCAAGCAAGATCCTTCAGAAGGCACAGACCCAGCTGCTGAATGAACGGGTGAGACAGACCAATTTTACTATTGAGGCCTTGAAGGCCAAAGAAGAGCACATTAAACAGAAACTAACTATGTGTCTAGATCAGACCACACTTCAGCAAGTGTTGGACTGTACAGATCAGGCACGCTTAGCACAGCATGTCAAGTCCAAGACGCGACAACAAAACAAGTTTAACTTACTAATAACTCATCAACACCATCACTATTCCAATAACAACACATTCAGTGTAGGACAACACTCCAGTAGTCAATTACATGCCAGGGAGACAGAAAAGTGGGTGAAGAATTTATCTGACAGACAGCTCACCCAGCC